ACGGTTGCGGTTAACACGCTTAGGTCACGCGTCTCGGAAGGGTTTGGAAGTTTTTTTTTTAGAAATTATGTTTTTTAGCATTGTAACGGCAAATGCGTCCTCATCTTTTTCATTTTTGATAAAGAGAACCAAGGAATTTCAAAGCTAACTAAAATCCATGCATGTGATTTTCATGCCTCGTTGAAAAATTGATTAAAATGTCGTATTTATTTTCGCATTTCGTTTGTTTACAATCGGTAGGTAAAGTCTCGCGCTGAAAGGGCTCTCACTGGTGTTCGACAGTGGAAGTTGGTGTCCACGAGGGACGGAGGACCGCAGGCGGGGGCGCACCGGTATCCGAGGGCTTCGGGCGGGAGAGGCGCCCTTTCTGGCAGAGAGAAAGGCAGCGTCGCCGCCGCCCCCGCCCCCGCCCCCACCGCCGCCGGCCGCCGCCCCACCGCCGCCGCTGGTTCCACCACCGCGGGGGTAAGGACCGCACTTAGGGTCACTGGAAACCGTACTGTACCAAAACGGTGGACTGATTAGCGACTGACGACGATAACCATACTCAGTGGACTACTTCCTCTGGAAACGCAGTTAGCTTTTGTGAGGAAACTGGGCATGGTACCTAGCATTTGCATAACTGGGCAGTCAGATAGGAAAATGACAAGTGTTGGATTTTCCGGTCATTAGCGAGCATGACGCACCGATATCAATTAGCATGGTCAATGAAGGAAATGCTTGAACTCGACATCTGAATCGCTTATAAACGAATGATGGAAAAAAGGCCTGTGACCATCAACTGGTGACTCACGAACACAACTCTCCCAGATTGCCAGGCAAATGTAAATGACCCGAGGACAAGTTACCTGTGGTCTGTCTTCCTCGTGTTGATCCTTTTCCTCATTACTGAGAGCACCAAATCGTGCGTACTCGTATATTGAAATAGTTTTATCGGTCACACCCTTAGGCCTTATCTGCGGATAACCAGCCGATACAACAATGCTGACCTTTATAACACCGATTAATTATCCACTACCAGCTATTTGGACAATATAATGCGCATTTTCCCGTCTGGAAAGCATCTTCTTTTATTGAGTTGGCTAACTTTATACGGCTCGCTCATTCCGCATGCAGCATTCCTAATTGATCACATAAATATCATTTAACTGTTCTTTGCTCATGGACTCTTCTTGGCAACTAAGAGCGTTCAGCTGCTGTATTTTGCAACCTAAAAATGCTTCTAATGTTAAGTTATCTTACGTCTCTAGCAAGTGGTGCCATATCATTGGCATCGATGCCTCGTCCTGAGCTAAGAAGTAAGAACGTTGTTTTTGTTGCAGGTGACAGCGACTACAGCTACGACGGCTGGACCACGGAGGAGCCCACCACGCCCCCGACCCGTCCTACGCGGCCCACCACCACCACGCCGACCACGCCGACCACGCCCACAACACCCACCACCCGTCCCACGCGCCCCACCCGCCCGACGCGCCCCACCCGGCCGACCCGGCCCACCCGGCCGTTTGGCCGCCGCGGCGGGCCGGGCCGGCGTGGTCCCCCGGGGGGCCGGCGGGGCGGTCCGTTCCAGCGCGGAGGGCCTGGACCGAACGGCCGCCGCACGCCGCCCCGGGACAGCCAGTTCCAGTACCGGGAGGACGTCCAGAGACGGCGGGACTACCCGCGGCGCGGCGGCAGGCAGGAGAGACCCGTCCACCGCACCGGCCGCCAGTACGTGCTCTAGGAGCGGACGGAGCAGGGCGCTAGAGAGGACATTACTGAACGGGAGGTCGACTGTACTTCCCAACTGGACTGAGCAACACTCAATGAGCTGAGCAACAAGGCTGATGACTGTAACAATACTGTAAAAGATTTATTTGTGTAATAAATAAATAGCACAATAAAACACTAACGTTTCACATAATTGTTTTTGAAGTGTTTGGATACTGAATTGGGAAAGTCGCGAACAGAGCAGAGAACTAGGATACTACATAATAAAGCACTTAATGGACAGAACGATGCAAGTACGACACGGTCAGGTGCACATTTGCTTTCAAAGGCAAAAGTTGATTGGAACAATTTTAAAACGGAGACGGCTCGTTTTGAATTACATTTACACGCATTTTGGTATGATGTTCATGTTTGATTTGAGAGGAATGTACTTCTAAAACGGCTTCCGATTTGAATGTTTCTCATAATCACAAATACGAATTATGTATAGAAGCATGATGTAAATGTGAAAATGGCGTGTGCTCGGCTACTTACAACCCCAGCTATTAAATAAGCCATCAGTCAACCATATTCAAACAACGCATGCAAGGTGATGAAAGACGCACTTTCAACTTTATTGTAGTTGCATTACTCGGTTAAGATAGACGCTATATTTATTATTGCACATTTTTAATTAGACTAGTGGGCACTGCATGTAATGCGCCATACAAAAACGATTCTTGTAAGAATATGCAGTAAGACAATGAACGTTAATTTATGAAATGCAACATTGAAAAGCCATTCGGGAGTCATTACTTGAGGTGAACATTGTTAGATCCGTCTGCTTTTGCCGCACTTTGATCTATTGAAGTCGGTCAGAGACGTTTTACGTCTGTTTGAAGCTACGCTATGAAGCATATGATTTGCAGCCTGGAAGTCTTGCTTTTTTCAGTTGGAGTTGCTGTCAGTAACGGAACAACATGGTTCACTCTGGCTTCGAGCTTGAGAATATGCGCTATTTACCTGGTGTTCGTCTTTCTAAGAGACAGGGAAGGTCAGAGTCTAACCATTTCACAGACAGCTCACTCATCGGTATATAATCTTCCTTGTCGTCGGTTATCCGGGAAATAGAGCCGCAATGTTGTTCGGTTGCTGTTTTATTAGTATATTTCCTTGCAAGCACCCCTGGGAAGTGCGCAGACTGCTGGCACTCCCGGAAACTTAGCTGAATCTATTCAGAGTTCATTGGTGGCGACTCGTTTTGATCGGGAGCTACCGACAAAAAAAAACGGATTACCTTGAATGGCCCTAGACACCGAATTGACGGTTCACGCAAGATTTGAAGTGCACCATTTTGTCAACGACATATGCCAGTAACGTGACGAAAGAGAGAGAGAGAGAGAGAGAGAGAGAGAGAGAGAGGGAGAGAGAGAGAGAGAGAGAGAGAGAGAGAGAGAGAGAGAGAGAGAGAGAGAGAGAGAGAGAGAGAGAGAGAGCAAATATGCATGCTTTAAAAAATCAGATTTTACCACTTCCGGCGCAAATAATTTCCGGAGTTCACCAATTTACAACGGAGAGGCACGGTACTGACCTGACCTCAGGTTGGCCATTAGCGCACTGCGCAGATATCGATGTGCTGGTTCCCCACTGTTAATTGTCCACTCCACTGTCTTCGCTGTGCGGTCGCAGTCGGTGACCTTGACCACTGATCCGGCCCGTGACCCCGCGCCAGGTCGACTGACGGCTGGCCGCAGTGCGCGCAGGGGCAGGCGAGGTACCCAATTCTACCTCAGTACCTCAGCAGCCACCACTCAGTCTCCACACATTACCGTTGTATGTTTTTTCAGTGTATTGTACGCCGCCGGCGGCCCAGCCAGCCGTCCTTGAGGACACAGCCGGGTCACCCAGCGGCTGCTCTTTGCTAGGAGCGCTGCCGCACCCACCCCTGCCATCGCAGCCCTCAGTCCAGCCCGGCACACGGACTACGGGCGCTACACTGCCGCACACCTGACGAACTGGTCCCCGGCTCACATACCCGGACATACACAACACCCAACTCATTCACAATCCCCGACAAACATGACAATCGTAATTCCGAACATCCACACTCCCAACAAACCCGCCACTCCCGCCACTGCCCCTAATTCTCGGAAGTGTTCAGAGACAATGTCGTGTCGCCAGCGCGGCATTCACTCGGACAGTCCGTCAACATAACCCGCTCAATCCCCCAGCGGTTTGCACTACTGATCATACAAACAGCAACCACTGGTCATACAAACAGCAACCACTGGTCATACAAACAGCAACCACTGGTCATACAAACAGCACCTCCCAAGCCGTCGCCAAAACTTCAAACATGCGCAACGTTCCGAGACAGTGGTCATTGGCGGTCACAAAAATATGTACAAAAATAGCAGGCCGGCTATCCGGGGGGGGGGGGGGGACAGTCCTTCCGGAATCTCCTTGAAGTCCAGGCACTAGACCTCTTCCATTTCGGAGCTATTTTCGTGGTGACATATAGTCTGTTTCACCACATCACGACAGCGCAGACCAGTGGCTGAACCAGTGGGGAAGTCAGACCCAGCCGAGACAATACCTCAAACAAATCTACCAGCCACAGTTTAGACGGCACATTTCTCATATACACCTCAGCACGATATGGCATGAAGGAGAGATATGAAATGTATCCCCTCGACATCCATGATGTAGTCAGACGCGGGGAAAATATCGGCACACGTTTTGTATAATCTCAAATTGTAACAAACCGTAAAGAAATGCAATTTTTAGGGTTAAGGGACGGCCGATCTCGGATTTTTCTCTTATAAATCTTACACGTCTTCATGGCTCGGTCTACAATAGCCTCTGTATGGCACAATAAATGTTCTCTGAGGAATGTAGATTGATCCGCAGGCTGCTGATCATAGCATTTACCTATCGTAACATCCGAATCTTTCTCCTATGGAATTACCAGCTATCACCTTTGCATGAATTTCACCATGCAGCACAGTCAACTAGAAGCAATCAAAGAAGATATTTAAAAAAGGAGACAAGTCGAGAGTAAGGTGAGACAAAGACGAAGGCACCGCAAAGAGCACTCCAACCCCACACAAATTACTGCGTCCACCTAATCTATAACCCCAGCGACCCAAGAAAGGCGAACGATTCACGGGACACACTTCAAACAGGCAAACTCCGCAAAAGGCAGGAAATTAAATATAAATGTTTAGGATGCAGGCCGTATAAAACATGAGACAGTCAGCAGCCGTAGGCAGCAGACTCGAGATGGGACGCGAGGCCTCGAAAAATGGTCCACGGGGACAAGCGGCGGACGACGGGGACCAGCGGCGGACCACTGGAGACCGTCTGGCGAAACATCGCGAACTGGTGATTCACGCAGCTACCAAATCGAGTGATTCCACACCCCACAGTGCGGCGCGGTGTCGGAATTTCAGTGGAATGGAACCTCAGCACACCCTCACTGGAGTTCATACTCCAATCAAAGAGTCTGTCCGTTCACTGAAGAAAGTCTTCCCTCTCGTAAGGCGGTCATGTATGTCCGTTCGTCCGCCTCGAGGCCGCACACTGACTCTAGCTCCACAGTCGCGCACACTAGCGCCATCAACGGCCGAAAGTCGGACGACTCTTCCACTCTCAGTGGCAGCACCGACGCCTGTAAGCTCCTTCATCCGCCAACACACTTCTGCCCCCCAATCAGCACCAACCTGAAATCGGCAAAGTTTGATTCTGTTAGTAATTTTTCAGGCAATTGCGAAAAAAGCAAAACGCATTTCAAAACTACCCAAAAACTCGCTCCGCGGCCCCAGGCCAGACATCTCTCACTCTCCAGCGCCCATCCCTCTCCCAGCCCTTACCTTCTCCACTCCCCCAGTACACCCCCTCATGTCCGCTCACCTGAGTGGCACTCAGTCAGCACCAGCCGCCTCAGCGGGCGCCAGCGACACGGCCGGCACCAGGTGGTGATGGTGGTGCTGGTGCGGCGGGTAGAAGCCGGCCAGGCTGACGGCCGCGGCCGCCGGCGGGTACGGCGCCGCCCCGTAGGCCGGGTAGCCGCCGTACTGCTGCGGGTGCGCCGGGTGCGGCGCCGCCGCCAGCTGCAGCTGCTGCATGCTCTGCAGCAGGCTGAACGTGTCCAGCTCGTGCTGGCCGGCCAGCGAGCCGCCCGGGTAGACGAGCGCCGGCTGCGGCCAGTAGGGCAGCTGCTGCAGCGGGTAGCGGCCGGCCGCTGACAGCGCCGCCTCGTAGCCGGCCAGCCGCGGTCCGGCCGGCTCCAGGGGGCGCCAGCGCGGCTCCTGCTGGGCGGCAGCAGCAGCAGCGGCGGCAGCGGCAGCGGCCACCGCCTTCTGCTGCTGGCGCTTCTTGTTTCCGTCTGCAAACTTGACCGCCAGCTGGAGCCCCTGGTTGTTGTCTAGAGTGTGGCCGTTGAGCGCGCGGATCACCTTGTCACAGGTCTCGGGCAGGTCCATCCTGGGGGAGGGGGGATCAACTGTTAGCTAGAATGGAAACCTGCTGCAGTACGCTTGTGACCAGCAGCGTGGATACGCACACTTCCGAGAGGGCCCGCTCTCCCTTTACTTTCCTCAACTTATCAGCCCCTCTACTGACCCCTCTGCCTTTCGTTCCACTGCTTACTCCTTCCTTGAGCTCCACTACTAACGTTTTCCTACATCTCTCCGCTGTCCCTTCTCCCCACCTTCCACCCTCTCTCTCCCTCCCTCTCTCTCTCTCTCCCTCTCTCTCTCTCTCTTTCTCTCTCTCTCTCTCTCTCTCTCTCTCTCTCTCTCTCTCTCTCTCTCTCTCTCTCTCTCTCTCTCTCTCTCTCTCTCTCTCTCTCTCTCTCTCTCTCTCTCTCTCTTTCCCTCTTCCATCCTTTTCTCACCTGGCGAATCCGACGCCCCTGCTGACGCCGTTGTCGTCCCTCAGTATCCGGGTGGAGATGACCGACCCGTGTCGCTGCAGCAGCGCCTCCAGCTCCCGCTCAGTGAAGGAGGCCGGCAGGTTGGTGATGTACAGGTTGGTTGGGTCCTGCTCCTGTTGGCGAGCCATCTGAGCCTGGATGTTCCGGGCGACCAGGTGCTTCACAGCCTTCTGCGCCGCCTCTGCGGTGTCAAAGTCGACGAAACCGTACCCTGCGCAGAGCAGTGGGAAGAGGTGGGTGAGTGATAGTTGAATGGTTGGTTGGCCTATTAATATGTTATGGGTAGCACTGAGATTCCATTACAACACTGGTCTATGTATATGTATAAAAAGCCATATTGTGACGATCTGCGAGCGTACGAAGAGCGGCTCGAGATGTGCCCTGAATAATGCATGTTTACTTTAAGTAGGTCTGTGTTTGTTAATGTAGTTGGAAGCTGTAACATCTGTAGGTTCTCTTTGAAGTAGGGAAAATCAAAACCGTTTCCAGCCTGCCAAGAGATTTGAAGTAAACACTGGCTATTTTTTGCAAATATTACCAATCACATGATCAATGCGTCCAAGCAATAAATTCTGACGTCAAAGTATTCCACCAAATTCGTTTAAACACGCCACTTCAATTACTTTTTCATCCGTCTCGTTTAACATTAATAGCGTCTAACGCTGCCAGACTGCTGTGAAAGAGGTGCCGTGTCCCCGCGTCCAATTCGGGATCGGCGGTGTCCGGCTCGACTCGACGTAATGAGGGTGCTATTTGTGGACCGGCTCGACGCGGCACAGTTTAGATCATGACGCCCCGTCCCACAGGAAATGAGCTCGCCAGAGATAGCAGCCGGCTGGAGCAGCGGTGAATTACTTAGCAGGGTATCCACCGGTGTCAAGACCGGGAGTTCCATGGCAAAGATAAAATGTCGTTGCTCGGGGCATGTGAAAGCAAGAGTCGTCTCTCCTTGTGCGGTGGATTCTCGCCGTTACGTACCGTAGAAAATACAGCTTATTACTCGATATTCATATACCAAATTACCATTAAATTGTTTGAGAAATATGTCATCGTATCAGCACATAAACGATCAGCCCCCCATCCTCCATTTTGTTTGATTTTTGTTTGCAACACCAGAACATGCTGTATTTCCCGCGCCGCGCCCGTGGCAATGTCCCTCCGCTGGCACCCTCTGAGCTCTGATGACCGCCCTTCTCCAGCGTTCCCAACGAGCTGGCAGTAGCTGCCGTCCTCTCGGCCATCAGGGCAGTGCCAATTAGTGCCATGGCGCGGCCGGCGGCGGTCATCCATTGTGGCCGGCGGCGGCGCGCGGGCCGCCGGAGGGGAGGGGCAGGACGTCACCCTTCCCCGCGGCAGGAGCGGGCCGCCGGCCGGGCTAGTTGAGTCAATCAAATCTAATTGAATCACCGCCGGGTAGTGGCGACGTGCTTCTGCGCCGCGGCTGCCACCGACAGGCAGACTGGCGACGGGGAGCATTCATTCTGGCCAGGGTTCATAATGTCCAGGGTACGCTATGTCCAGTGTCAAAATGGCCAGTGCCTTGAATGGGCCAGAGTTCATAATGTCCAGGGATTGCATGGTCCAAATGTGGCCAACTGGCTGCAGATAGGGTATATTCAAAGAGGCCAGGGTTCATAATGTCCAGGGCACGATGTGTCCAGTGTTCAAAATGGCCAGAGCTCATAATGTCCAGGGCACGATGTGTCCAGTATTCGAAATGGCCAGGGTTCATAATGTCCAGGGCACTATGTGTCCAGTGTTCAAAATGGCCAGTGCCTTGAATGGGCCAGAGTTCATAATGTCCAGGGATTACATAGTCACTGAAAGTGACGTCATTATGTAAAAAAACACGGAATCAGCTCAATGCAAAGCAGTGCAGTGCCGAAGGCAATGCCTTAGGAGAGATTACAGGCAATAGTAAATCAAATATTTTTAGGTTAAGTGATTATGTATCTGGCTTCAGGCCGAAGGCCTGAAGCCTGATGCATAACCACTTAACCTAAAAATATTTGATTTACTATTGCTTGCAATCTATTCATGCGAGACACTATTTCCTTATCCCTGGTAGGCAAACATCATTACCTTAGGTTAGGTTAGGTTAGGTTAGGTTAAGGTTAGGTTAGGTTAGGTTTGGTTGACTATGTAATCCCTGGACAGTATGAACTCTGGCCCATTCAAGGCACTGGCCATTTTGAACACTGGACACATCGTGCCCTGGACATTATGAACCCTGGCCATTTCGAACACTGGACACATCGTGCCCTGGACATTATGAACCCTGGCCATTTTGAACACTGGACACATCGTGCCCTGGACATTATGAACCCTGGCCTCTTTGAATTTACCCTATCTGCAGCCAGTTGGCCACTTTTGGACCATGTAATCCCTGGACAATGTGAACACTGGCCAATTCAAGGCACTGGCCAATTCGAGCACTGGACACATTGTGCCCTGGACATTATGAACCCTGGCCTAAATAATACGCACCCACTGGCGACAGAGAGGACCGACGAAAAACGGAGCGACAGGGAACGTCGACAGGGAGAAAACAAGGCGAGAGAGACTGAAAGAGAGACGACAGGGACAAGGACAGATAGACGCGACGTAAGCGTTTATTGGGGATGAGGTAACTGAATAACTATACGATGCAATCAAAGAATAAAACATCAGTTGATTTGTCGAGTAAGGGGACAAGCGGAAAGCCACCACTTTGCGCAGGGAGTCCGCATTTCAAAAAACAAATTTTAAAAATTGTGCCAAAGAGGACTTAACTGTGTATCATTTATTCGTAACGTCTTTCCTGGCCCATGATGGCTTAGCAATATAGCCTTTCAATGTCAAAGCAGGACGAACAACAGGTCTTAACCCTTAGAAACATTAACCCAGAGCAGTTTGTCCCCATACCTGACCCTTATCGCGCAGAAGTTCATGGCCACGACTCCATTGACCCATGTTTGGGCATTTGGTCACAGGCGGTGGCGAAATTTATAAGCGAAACCTACAGCATGCCAAAGTTCATCCCCACGGCAGCCCCAACATATCGCTCGCTCGATGTCCTTACCACTGACATTTGATATGCTATCAAGTTACAAATCTCGCACGCCCAGACCTCCCCCAGACGCACGCCCGGACCAATTGTATGTCCTCGCCAACGACAGTTGCACCAGTCGTCGACTGTCCCAGGAAGCCACGAATCCAGCGTAACCCTTATTAGCCCCGAATCTTATTTCTGCTCCTCTCACTGACCTTTGCACTGTCCGGTGGTTTTGTCCAGGATGGCCTTGGTCGAGTTGACCTGACCCAGGCCGGCGCACATGGTCCGCAGGTGCTCATCGGTGGTCTCCGGGCCCAGTCCGCGGATGTAAAGGTTGGTTTTGCTCAGTTCCACCTCCTTACCGGAGCCGTGGGAGCTGGTATGGGAGCCGCTGCCCGGCGACCGAGCCGGAGAGTAGCCGTTCTGTCAAGGAGAGAAGGGGGTGTCACACAGAGCAGAGAAATGAGGGAATTATCACCACAAACTGCCGTTATTGGTCATTTAAAACATCTAACCACACGATAAGGCAGCAACTGGGGTGTTGGTTACATGTTTTATTAGAATTAGGTCTGATTAAGAAGTGGACTTAGCATAATTGGAACATTAAGTGGAAGAACAGTGTAAATTAGTACCCAATTATTTGATAACACGACATGAGATAGACAATTCGCGTGTCCCATGCAAATAATAAATCATTTAGTGGAGCTCAGCACAACTACTCCATTGTTGGGTGATGAACTTTCCGGCTTATACGGATACAAAGGTACCGTCAAGCCGACATGCTTTGGGCGCCGATAGCTGCGGGGCAGCAGTCGCACAATTTTGTCGCTAGATGTCACTACTTGGTACACCTGAAGGTTATACTGTACCGCATTACACCCCGTACCAAAGGGCGGACAAAAGGAGGCACCGGAAAACTTCTGCAGAGACTGGCGAATCGATACTGTTATAACTTTTACTGGACAACATGGCGATTAGCGATTGAAGTAGTTTCTGCTGCAATTTCGCAGAAACGTTTAATAATTCAAGTTGGCGAGAGCCGGACACGAATATAAATACAGCCCCATCATTCAGAAATTCTTTATGAGGCATTTGAGCATACGACACTCAGCTTAGGCTCTTTCGAAAACATTCCAACTGGTTGAAACACGCTGGTTTTATCAGCTGGATGACGTAAATAGGAGAAAACTTTAGAGATAAGTCTGGAAAATAAGTTTGAAACTATTTCCCACACATTTATAATCTCGAGTGTTTATGATTCACAGTTTCAACTGAGAGTTCACAGCAGTGCGACGCTCCGGCACCGGCTCGCACTTTGAACGAATACCAGCCAGTCTCGGAGGGGAAAACACGCCAAATTGAAGTGTTTGTGCGAGCGCCGCGGTTCAGAGGTCGCGCGCGATGCCGTGCGGCGTGGTATGCATTGCGCCACGCATCGCGGCAAAAAAGGTCGCCGCTGCCGAGCTGCTGCCGGGGTCGGCCGCTCGCCTGTTCAGATGTGTTCAGCTCGTCTGTTCAGTGTTCAGTGAACTGAACAAACCCGAGATGGCGGAAGGGGGCAGTCATCTAAACAGAGTACCGGAATGGGCGAGTGCCCGCTGCCAGGCCACAGAGTTACGCGCTGCAGCAAATGAATGGGTGCGACCACGGGACCAGGCGAGGTCTAGTAGCCTTGTTTTTCATTGCTAAAAGATAGAACTGCGGGGTTTGGTATGTTTTTTTTTAAGCAACGCAATAATGCTGTTTGTACAACTTGTTCGTTTTGCAGCGATGGATACATTTATGTTTGATGAAATGTTTGATGAAAAGAAAAAGTCAAACATTGAAAAGAATAAGCATCGTACCATTGCGCAGCAATCCTTGGGTCCGAGTTGGCAGACTGCCCCATATGTTTGTTCACTGCTTATTTCTCGCTGGCATGGCTATCAGAGGTTGAAGTGAAGACTGGTACAGTCCACAACAGAAGTCAAAGTAATGTAGGTGCGGTTTCAGTCATGGGTAGGTATATTCTGCTTCTGAAGCTTGGGAACGATAAGCCAGACTACAATGAAACTTTGATGTAGCTTACATGCATCGTCACCCTTGCAGCTTTAAATTTATCTATTGACGTCTTCTTTTCGATCACTCATGCATAAAAAAATCGCTAGTCAAAGCCATCCGTTGAGATTGGTAAAACAGCACATTACTTTAGAGGTGGGCTGTGCCTTTATGTTCCGGCATTGTCCGAAGGGTAAGTGGCACTCATTATCTAAATTAAAAAGTACCTAATATGACCAAAATTTTTCCATAACATCGCATGGCTTCATAAAATTGCACATAAATATTGACGGAGATAAATGTTTGCTTATACAATAGGGACATAAAGGAAAGAGAATCGTTATTCAACACGGCCAAAAGTAATGAGTGCCTCCTAATGACCTGCAATTTTCGTAATGACACAGCATTACACAGTGTAAGGCGGTCGCGTTTGAATGTCTGACTCGTCTCCGTTCCAATGTAAGAAAGAGGTCTCGTTCCGCTTGGTGAATCGTGTAAAGCTCACCCTGACCAATATAGTAACAGGATATGACAGCGTGCGCCACCAGCGCACCAATGAAAGTGAGGATGGTGTGCTGATTGTTAGCGCAATGATGCAACAGCAGTGAGTGATATCGACAGGCGACCACTCCATGCCGTGCAGGTGGTGTTTTTTTTTATCCTGAGCTATATGTATATTTTAGGTTGTGTAACATCGTGAGTGTGTATTTTACCCTGCATGTTATGATCCGATTTTATTGACGTGAAGGTCATAATAGCCACTTGTCTTGTGGATGGCTCTTTAATAATCTACTACTACTACTACTACTACTACTACTACTACTACTACTACTACTACTACTACTACCATTGCTACCGTTGTCCTTTGTTCTTCGACAGTGTGATGTCGGTAAAAAGACAGCTTCGTCATTGAATAACAAATATGTGAGCAGAATTTTACGAGAAGTGTGAATAGACAGAACGAAAGAGAAGTAAGGATAGGCGATAGGGACGGGCAGTGGGAAGCCAAAACTTTTTAAGTTTTTGCCAATCGGCGATACTTGAAACAGTTGTGGGTGCTGGAAACCACAACAATTCATAAAGTTGCGAGTTTAGGGTCAAGTTCACTAAAAGCTGCCGTACAAGTGCATAATTTGGCTGATCATGGCTTCAGTTGCAATCGATCTCGGAATCATCGAAACACGAAAATAATATCTGAGCACACTGAAAACTTCACAGGCAGCAAGACACGCACATCACAAGGTCTTCATCGCACATTCGGACACTAATAGGGATCAGAACTTTGGGGCTTCAGGGTTGCCCGTCAGCTGTTATCGCTGCTTCCGCTTCGATCCGTCTATTGTTCACTCAGTGTCTATGTGTGGGGTTGTATCTGAATACGTGTGCATGTATTGTCCGTGTTTGAACGTGGTGTAGAAGTATGTGTGAGAGTCTTCTCCTAGAAAACACTCCTATGTCTATCATTTTATCTGTACTGTACGTCTGTACCTGTACTTATACTGCGTCTGCGTTTGTATCTAAGGCCGTATTTGCATTATGTCTTCGTCTGAATCTGCGTCTCTGTTTGTTTCCCCAGTGTGCGTGCTAACGATGTAACTTTATCCCCGTGCCGTGCAGCACGTCGGTCCGACCATCGCTGCAGGTATGGCCGCCTCACCGGGTCGGACCGCCGCGCACGGCGGGCCGGCGGACCGCCCGGCCTCACCATTAGGTCTGTCGCTGCGTCCCGCCCCCTGTATCTGACACCTGACGCCCAGCACCGCGACACCCGACACCGGTGACACCGTCACCGTCACCGGCTCCGACACCGCCGGCCGCCGGCTGACCGCGAGAACCGAACCGGGGCGCCGCCACACCGAGCCGACTGGTGAGTGGAGGAGCTGGGTGAGGTGACTGGAAAATGGAGTCCGGGCTGGTCCAGAAAACACCAACGTATTCGTTGAATGAATATGATTTACTTTACTGGGTCGTCACTTCAATGGCTTGTCAAATCAACAAATAACACGTCGTGTGTCCAGATAATTTCGTCGTTTTACTTATCATCCCTTGGCATCACGCAACATTAGAAAATAAAAACGGTAATTTGTAGGGTTTATATGCTCGCAATATCCAGCAATGAAATACAAAGACAGTTTCTATGCAAATGCATTTCTTGTTATTTATACCGGCTGAATGAGCGTCAGCTTATGTCAAAAATAGCTTTAAAAGATTTGCCCAAGCTTCCCTGAAAACTTGCTACCTGGGGTTATCGGTCAACTGTGCATCACGCTTGGCACACAGACCACAGCGCATGTGGCGCACGCTCACTGGTACTACCTCATACAGCGCAGACCCATGCTGACCCGCTGATGTTGACCACAGACGGGTGACACACCAGGCCGCGGAGGGGAATGGAACGGGTTGGGGTGGGGGATGATCTCAGGTAGAGCTCGGTACGGCGCGGGGAGACCCCGGGCCGGCAGTGACTAACCGATTGGAAATCGCCCTGTGGGATATGCCGATTGACTCTGGTGGGGAAGTAAGGGGGAAAAGGACTGTGCTGGAGAGAGGAATCGGAGGAATGAGTGTTGATAGGGTGGTGTTGGAAGGGAAGAACCGAGGAAAAGACTGAATTACCCCTGTGCAGGATGAACATGGACCATGATCATATGATGAACCACATACTTCTCAATACTATACAGAGAAGTCTGTGGATGAACCCATCGGCGGCCGCTGTGTGGCTGAAGACGGTCGCGGTCATCAAGTGAGACAGACGTCATCACCAGTATTTACAAGGCGTTTGACGTCACCATCCACCCAGTTCCTATGAAACTACTGCAGTCATTACAGAAAGACGTGGCCACTTGACTTGCAATTTGGCATGTATCGCGTCACTGCAACATCGTCAGTAGAGTTGCCTTTCAGCACACAATCTCTGACAATGGACGGAGATGCCGCAGGCAGTAGCAGTATATAATCAATGTGTCAGTGTCACTGATTATTTTTTCATCAGCGGCGGCCGACTGACGCAATCGGAGGTCAATTGATATCAATCTTGTTTGATCAGTTAAGCAGGTCGGCTCAAGATCATGGACGAGATGCCTCTGGGTGTGAATCGGACCGATGTACGAAAAAGAAGAAAGTCTACTGACGAGCGTGCATGTTAGCATGAAATACGAGTAAGCAAAGGAGAACCGTAGTACGCGCGAGTAAAAATAATTGTTCTAGAAAAAAAAACATGTAAATTGGAGCCTCAGTAGCCTATCCTTGAAATAAATTTATATTTTATTGTGCTTATCTAATTTGTGATGACATATGCTCTTACGAAATAAGCCTCATGCCTTTGTTACCTCACGCAGCTGCAGACATTGGTTGGCAGGCCTTTTAAATATCACAATAGGAGCGAC